CGCCGATTTTCGCAGTAGCGACACGTAGATCGCGCGAGGGCGAGGGATTAGGTTTTGGGAAGTATCAAACGCACGGGGGCGAGAACAGAGAGTTTAATATGTTAAGTATTTGGTTTAGACAAGAAGATAGGTTTGAATGGGTTGTTAAAGGTTTTGGTCGCACAGGGACGAAGAATTAATGTTTAAAAGTATTGGATGTTTTTGGTTAGGGGTGACAATTACTTGAAGTTTAAGAAAGACTTCTCGGACCCAAGTAATCGGGAGAGTGAACCAAAGGCTTGAAACTCTCTCTTTTTCATCCCAACGAGTAGTTGTGTTTGAAAGACTCTAAACGATAGAATGTCGTTAAAGTGTTTTAACGGATGAGGATTACTCGAAGCTTAAGAAAGACTTCTCGGACTTTAAGTAACCGGAAGAGTGAACCAAAGACTTGGAGTTCTCTCCTTTTCTCATCTAATATTATGAAATATGTTTGATATATTTAGAGTGTTTTAATCGGATGACGATTACTCGAAGCTTAAGAAAGACTTCTCGGACCCAAGTAATCGGGAGAGTGAACCAAAGACTTGGAGCTCTCTCCTTTTCATCTAAGTGTTTAGGAAAAATAGGTTTGAATTCGTTATCGTTTTAGAAGACAATTGTTCGAGCTTAAGAAAGACTTCTCGGACCCAAACAATTGGGAGAGTGAACCAAAGACTTGGAACTCTCTCTTTTTCTTCTAAGTGTTGAAATTGTATTTGAGTAGTTATTAAGTATATTAAGTTTGATTTGAGAAAATACTCAATATGAATCGAGGTTTAAGTGTGCGTATGAAACGAACAAGGTTGAACTAAAGGATATGAGGTCCAATGGTATAGGGTAAGGTCGATGGCGAGGCCAAAGCACTCGACTTACAAGGAGAGTAGGAGGATTAATTGCATTTGTCGTTGTACAAAGCCCAAGAGGAGGCTATAAGGTCGATGGCGATCGTAAAAACAATCGGGTTACAATGGGGTTTGAAAATGGGCTTGACATTAAGTCAAGATATTAGTTTGAAAATAATCGGTTTGAATAAGCAATGCAATTAATAACATAAATGCAATTTAGGCAAGATAATAAAACACATGTAAACATCACAAGAAAGTTCGTAAACTAAATAGAGTGGGGGATAGGCTAATCTAGACATGCTAACCTAATTAACATCCTAATTATCTAAGGTTAGTAAAAGAAAATTAAATTAAATTATTTTAGATTATTTTTGAATTAAGGAAAAGATAAATTATTAAGAAAGTTATTAAATTAAAATAGAAAATAAAATTAGGATTAATCATTTTTGTGTTATTTTAAAATTTAAAAAACTAATTTACAACAATTAATCAAATTAAAATCAATTATTTAATAATATTAACCATTAAATAAATTAATTATTATTAAATAAAAGATTTTAATAAAATTAATTAAATTAATAATAATCCAAAATTTCTTAACAGAAAATTAAATAAAATATTTTCGAAGTATCTGTTTTTTTTTTAAAAAAAGATATTTAAACTAAAATAAAAAAAGTTAGTAAAACATAAATAAAATACAAATGGGCCAGACTGCAAGCTAACAAGGGGGTGCAGTCAGAAATCTACCCAGGCCCACTAAGGATCCGCGTGGGGTTCACGGTAAACCCCCAGCCAAACACAGATCTGGGCCACTAATCCCATCTGAAAACCAAACGTCCTCCATCTGACGGCCAAAAACGAAAGGGAGTATATGAAGGACACAGAGGTTCACGCATACGATTCCAACGGTTGCTCTCTAGGAAAACTAAACAGCCGCCCGTTGGGAATACCAAGCGGTAAAGTGAGACACATAGGGAAGGTAACCAACAAATGTCATCATCAACCCAACTTTAAAAAAAAAGCAATAATATCTCCTAAAATGAACCAACAGAACTTTCACTTCTCTCAAAATGTTATTCTCCTAACCCCTTTCTCGTCTGAAACCTCTCTCCCTGATCTTCTCAAAAAGAACCTCAACCTTTAATCACTCCCCTCAAAGATAAAACTCGCGGATCCCCTCTTGAGAACCCTACGTTCTCGCCTAAATCCAACCCTAAACCCGTTACACCATTGGCTTAGATTTTCAAACGCTGAAACTCAAACTTAACAATATCTGAAACCAGAAAAAAACATGCGCAAGAAAAGTATCTCAGGGGATTCAATACATCTACAGACGAGGCGATAAAGCTAGTACCTGGTGGACGATTCCGGTGATTCTCCTCCGTTGGGGTCGAATCAAGCCTTCCGTCACTCTTCTGCTGAATTTCTCTTTCGGTAAGAGTTGTTTTTTATGAGGGATTTTAAGGTTGTCGTCGCAGAAATTTTTTTAGGGTTTTCTTTCTCAATTCTCCGCCCCCTTGTCTTGAATGAATAGTAACAAATATATAGGGGCTTGATGTTGTGAGATTAGGGTTTTTCTTTTGCAAACCGTGTAAATTTCTGGGTGAAAAAAGTATGATTTCAGACTCCTTTCTTGTAATTCTTTGTCTGTTAGCTGTTTCTGGGAATGTCTGTCTTTTACCATGATTTTCACCATGTAAATTCCTGGGATTTTTACTGTGGTTACATGGTAACTTTGCTTTAACATTGTTTTTTAAACCAACTGCTGTTGTTATGCAATACTTCCAAATTTTGCTATGAATTCTTGATTCCATGATTTGTTCTATTCATATTATTAGAAGTCTGACTGTTGCATTGTTCATTATGCAGGTGTGATAAGTTGGTCTAAGGTGAGCATTCTTCTACCGATCTTATAGCTGCAGCTGCTTCGACTTATAGGTTGTCAGACCTGCACTTTCAGCAAGAGCCTAAGCCCTTTTGCGTTTTTGAATGGCTATTTCCATGGATGCATTCGCCGAGGCTTTGGCTTCTCTAAGCCTAAGCGTTGCATTCTCTTGCAAGGCCTTTTGTTCAATTTCAAATGCCCTCAGCAAACTTGGCTAGTAGCTTCTGCCAAACCGACCTGGTTGCCTCTTCTTTCGCAACAAAGGCTTTGGAATAGGTGGTGCTTCGAAAATATCCATCTTACTGAGTTTTCTTTTACTGTGTAAAGTACAGTTTTTTACGGTTATGAATATTCTAACTTTTGTTATTTTTTGTGCAGAACTCTTTTCTCCTTTTTTTTTATGCCCACTGTCATAACAACTTGGTGCAGTCGTGGCCTGCGTAACCGCGAAGCTGGCATAAAGATTATTTATCCCAATGGAATGTTAGACTCGATGCAACTAGCTCCCGCTGTCTGAACTGTATTTAAGGATATGCACCTTGCTTCCTTATCTGAATTTGTTGAGGTAACAGTTATATAATTGAAAACTAACTGAGAACTATGTATACACTCTTCAAACAAACTCCTGACATTCTTTTCCTATCAGGAATGAAACCCAAGATCTCCAGGATTTCATACTAAAGTATAGTAGTGTTGAAATTGACTTCAAGAACATTTCCACTTTTATTGAAGAAAATCATATGCAGCTGAGCCGCAGCTTGAACAAGAGTATCTTCATCCCGAGATTGTGCCTTATACAAGATATCTCCGGTTTTGCTTCATGTATCTATGACAATATTACATATTGCCATGACTGTAACAAATAGTACAACACCAGAAGAACCACTAGAAACAACATTAAGAAGCTTTATTATTCCTCCACATGCGGTAAACTCTTCATTTCTCTAAATACTTTCTTCACTATATTCTATTCTTTTGTGACAAGAACTGAGCTAACATGATCAATTATTTTCCATTAGGATTTATTATGCTTGACCCACTGATTTGATCTTTGTGATTTTCACCTTGTTGGAGGAACCTCAACCTTGAAGAACAAAAGTTTTGAGGAACTAAGAGAGGTGGATAGAAGAACGTGTGACCTCTTGCTTCTTGAGCATGCGGGATCATAGATTCCAATGTTGTTGATCAGTATGTGTTTACTAAACTCCTACAACTTTGTAATTCTGCATATGTGATATTTTTGTAGGTGAAATACATGCCATTAATTTGTTCATACTGACCAATCTCCATTTTTCCTTTTCATGTATGCGTTTGGCACTGAAGGTGAGCAAAACGATATTGGATGATATGGAATGAGGATGTCTCGCAGGCTTCCTGACTTAGAGCTTGAATGAGAGTTGGCGTGAATAAGCATGAACTTTGGCATGAAAGTGAATTTTCATATGAAGACTTAGAATGAAAGCTTAGATAACTTAGTCCCTTAAGTCTAGACCCTGTGAATTTTATAATTATGCTATGTCAACAAAAACAAGAAGTTGTATTCCAACCATAATCACATTGAAACTCACTTTTGAACTTCCAATTTCTCTTGCTTCATAACCATATGTAAATGGCTTGCACTTAGTAGCTTTTGTAGTATCGGTACATTGCAATTTCGTGTAACTGTATTTGTTCTTGCACTTTGAACATTTGACAAGTATTGAATTAATGGATGAGACTTTGTTTTATATTGATTATTTGGAGCAAACTTGGGAATTATGAGTTGCACATGGTTTGAAGTAAATATGCCCCACAGATAATTTTATATCGATATCATTGCTCCATTCAATTTTGACTTCCATAAGCAATTCAAACACGACATCAGACAGCTATGTTTCTTGGTGTTGCTTCCTATTCAAACTTCATAACAAGTTTTTCCTTGCAATGCAAAAGTAATACAAATCCATCCTTGGGAAGGTCACATTTTGGAAACTTCTTAAAGTGTAGCTTTCCTTGCAATTATGGCTTTTACCTTTCAATTGCATTATGCTTCTCTATTTGAGATCAACATCTTGGCAAGAACTCACACTTCCAATATGTGCACACAAAATTCAGAGGGGATAATTTAGATGATCATGGCTTGATAAATGAAAGTTTTAAAAGGTAGGACAAATTTGGGGTATGACACAACCAACTCTTCTTGACGAAAGCCAGGAACTCTTCATGCTTAATCCAATAATAAAGAATTTAAAAGGTTTCAATCCCCAATTTTAGGAGTTACTTTTGAACCAAATGGGGAAATGGTTCGAAAGATCCCTAGGACCGGCTACCAACCCACCCACCTTCCAAGCCTCCAACAACCCTCTCAAAAGTAAGATTCTATCCAAACGTTTCATGGCCTTACCATCTAACCTATACCAAGTAAAGATCCTACCAAGAGGCAGAGGATCTAACAACTCCATCTTCTCAATAAAAACATTAAATTCTTCCATCTCACGACTATTAACAACACAACCTCTACTCTTCTGCTCGGAAACACTCCAGATCCGTCAAGTAAATTATGAATTTGATTTCTTATAATATTCGTATATTGGGCAACTCTGTTAGGAGAAAGTGACTTAGTTGTCTTTTGAGAAAAGAAAATTCTGAGGCCTGCCTAGTTCAAGGGACCAAGTTACAACAAGTTTAAGAGCGAAGTTAGTCTGGTGAATTTACTCAGAGGAATTTAATCGGAAAATAGAAGATCATTTTTTATTGAATTTATTTTCAATCTTTACAACAATTTTTCGATTACATTTATTCAAAGATACAAAATTAATTCCTAAGATCTAAATTCTTAATTTTTCTAAGAGTTCTCCGAGTCCAATTATTTGCTTCGACTTTTAAAACTGCAAAACAGAGAACGGCATGAAAATAATCGTCATCTGGTTAGAATTAAATTGCATAAAAAATGGTTTTTAATTATTCTGACACCCTTAGAAAAGTTTCATCACTGGGTGTGTCTGGAGGGCAACAACGACGAGGTTGCCGCCAGCTCCCGACTTTACTTCCCGACCTCGGCACAATCCGGCAATATATGTTCAGATTATTTCGAAAGAGAGAAAAAAGTACTTTTGAGAAAAAGTGATTATTTGGAAAAATGGTTTTTCATTCAGCCAAACAAGGCATAGCGATCCAACACAACTTGGATATCCAAATCCATAACTCCAAATATGGATATCCAGTTCAATGCCAAACAAGCCAGAAAAATCTTGATCCAAAACAACTTGGATATCCAAATCCGTAACCCCAAGTCTCTACTCCAAACAATCAAAACAGAAATCAAAACGAAAATAACAAATTATCCGCAAGTCCCTCCGTTAAAACAATATCAAACAAAATCTCCGTGAGAAATGCAACAACATCTCCGAAGATTCACCCGGGTCAATAAATAAATCATCAAATAATGCCCATAAATCCGCAAGAATTTCTGCTCCCAAAACTGAAATCAAGCAACAAAATCATGAAAATCGTAACAATATAAACATGCCCAGGCCCAGAAAATCAAATCAACATCAGTATAAAACCATCATTTGTTCATTAGTGAAAATGGGGGTTTTTGGTTCAGCAGAGAAAAGAAGAAGGTTTCGAAGAACACAACCAGAGGCAACCAGAAACAACATAAGAGTTCATCAAAAGACGGCGAAGAACTCGAAGAACGCCATCTCTCAAAACGAACGGCGGACAACCCACCATCACCACTGCGAAAGCCTCAGATTGAATCATCATTGGCTATTCAAACTGAACCACAACCGAAGAACCGTCAAAACCACCGCGCAACAACCACAAGCGAAACCCCCCAACTCAACGGCAGCAAAAGAACGGAAACTCACGAATCACCATCATCATAACTCGCCGCCTAATCGCTTCCAACCCAAATAAGGTGAGCAACTTTTCTAACCGGAGATGTTATTCTTTTACAAGTATATCAAAGAGAAGAAGAAAATCGAACCGAATAAGAAGAATGAACAAACGAAGAAAACTCCGCAAATGGTCATGGGAGAGAGCTGCCGCATGCAAGAAGAAGAGGATGGCTTTTTCAAACCCTAACAATTGCCCAGCACTAACTTGACCCTTTCCTCTTATATTTTTTATTTTATTATTTTTATGTCTTTTAGTTTCGTTAGTTTTTAATTTATTAATCTAAAAATTATGTTTAAACAACACAGCTTATTTTAGTTTTCTAATTAAAACCACTTTTTAAAATTGCTAAATAAATAGTCTTAATTTTTAAACAAACTTTTAAAATAAGATTCTATTTACATTATTGGAAACAAATATTTTCTAAAAAACCCCTAACCTTTTAAAATTAATTGAAAGCTTTTTTATAAGTTTAAAGCTTATTTATTTTTTATATAATCTAAAACTTAATTTGAAACTTAATTTTTTTCTAACCTAAAAACGCTAAAATAGAAATGCTTATCATTCCCGTTAATTGTCATCTGATTTTCGTATTTCTCATTTGTACAGTTTACTAATCTCGTATCTTTCCCTATTTCATGTTTCATGGTTGTAATTTACGCCAGAACATCGTCGCTTCTTATCCTGTTACTGTTTATTCTCGCACTTTCCCATATTTCAATTCCTTTGCTCGATAATTATTATTCATTGCATTATTTACCGTATAGTCCCTCCGAAGGATAGGTCTAGCCGTTTGACCTCCGCGTCAATAGTCCTTATCTTTGACGTTTTCACCTTTCAAACCCTAATTGCATAGGCGTCCCGTCGTGGACAAGTTTACCCTTTACCCTAGCATTAGGATAAGGAGTCGCCGCGCCCAATATTAGGTTTCCCGCCGTGGAATACCTATTTTACCCTTTTTAATTCAATTCAATTACAACGTAGAAATAGGGGTCGCCGCACTCCACGTAAACGCTTCCTTAAGAACGTTTGCATCCCCATTGAAACCTTGAACACCGTCAAGAAGTTTATTTTCCTCCCTTTCAAGGGGAACTACGATTACTCTGATTCCATCCCCTACCTCGGATACGTAGGCACAAGATGCGAATCTTGGCGAGTAAACATAGGACTAACCCTTAGGTCTTTCTTTTCACTTTCTAACCCTTAGCATGTACCCTTAAGGAGATAATTATAGCAAAATAGCAATATTAAAACAAGAGGTTCCTGTAGAGTACTACAGAAGTTTAGGGTGCTAATACCTTCCCTAAGCTTAACCAACCCTCGAACCCTAGATCTTTCTCCGCATTGTGTTTACGATGGAAAATAGGTTTTTCCTTTCTTTAACCTTTCCTTCGAATAAATCAAAGACCGTTTGTGAAAAAAAGATGTGATTCAAATTAATTAATAATTTGATATCCTATTCTCACTGCAACAGAAAATGGCGACTTCACTGGGGAACAAATGGCTGTTTTTTTAGGGTTATCCCTATCTTGTTTTATGCTTGCTTTTCCTTGTATATATTCTTCGTACCTTGCTTGGGGTATCTTTGTTGTGAGATAAGTCCTACACCCGGACTTGAGTGCAATTATTATAGGAAGGTGATATATTTGACAAGGCCTATAGGGAGTGATTCCCGACCAAGCTGACTTGAGAATCACCGCTCAGTTGAGGCCCTCTTGAGAATTAGTACCGTTGAACGAGTATCCCTGAAAACGCTTACTATTTTTGACTAGGAATCTGTGATACTGGGGACCGTAGTTACCTTAACACAACTTTGGCCTTATATAGGACGTAGTGCGAGGACTATGAGGGAGTATTCCCAAAATAGTTGCTACGCGATACTACACTCAAAAGAGGTTCTCTTGAGAATATTATTAACCACTGAGTTAATCGGGAAATTGATAATATCTGAAAGATGGACTGATGACTTTGGGCACTTCTTTAGAACCCTTGTTCTACAGGTACAACTAACCTAAAGTACATACCTTTTGGGGATGGGTAGACCTTGACTCCGATCATGTTCCTCTAACCTAGGACCTTTGTTTGCTTGTGCGTATTTGTGCATTGCATCCATAAAGCATCATATTGCATTAGATTTCATGGAATTCATTTTTACTTATGAACATTGCAGGATACCATGGATTACAATAGGAAAAACCCTTTGAAATATTCTTTTAAGAGTCTTAAGTTGGATGACCTAAGGAAGCTAGGAGCTTTAGTTAACTATCAAGAAGGATTCAGAAACAAGTATGGGAAGCTGTTACCTTTGGTGAAACTTCAAGTGGATGAAGGACTTCTTTCTACCTTGTTACAGTTCTATGATCCGGATTATCACTGCTTTACTTTCCCAGACTATCAGCTCTTGCCTATCTTAGAAGAGTACTCTCACTTGGTTGGGTTTCCTATTCTGGATGAATCTCCTTTCCCTTTCTTGGAGAAGGTCTCTAAAGAGAAAGACACTGCTAGAGCCATAGGTTTGAAGTTATCCGACATCAAGGGCCATATGATTACCAAAGGTGGAGCTTTTGGGTTACTCACAGCCTTCTTAATCAAGAAATCCCAATATTATGCCAATCATATGAGCATGAATACATTTGAGGCAATCCTCACCTTACTTATTTATGGAGTGCTACTTTTCCCAAGTTTTGAAGGCTTCGTTGATCTTAACGCCATCAATATATTCATGAAGAATAATCCAGTACCGACTTTATTGGATAACGCTTACCATTTCGTGCATCTCCTAAACTTTCATGGTGGAGGGATGATCACCTGTTGCGTGCCTTTGTTATACAAGTGGTTTATTTCGCACTTGCCCAAGTCTATTTCTTTTTGGGATCTCAATAAAGGATGCTAGTCACAGAAGATTATGGCTCTAACTCACTCGGATATTGATTGGTATAACCGTGTGTATGATGGACATCAATCATTTATGGTTATGGGGACTTTGCCAATATATACTTACTTGGATTTAATGGAGGGATCAACTACAATCCAGTTCTATCTTGCCGATAGTTAGGATATCCGCTGAAAGAACCACCCAAAAGTGTTCATGTGGAGAAAATCTTTTTCAAGGACGATAAAGAACTTCAAGATAAGATTGTGTCTGCTTGGCGTCACTTGCATAAGAAAGGGAATGAAAGCCTAGGGAAGCCTAATTGCGTGTCCATGAAGCCATAGCTTCCTTGGGTCCGAGAAAGAGCCATCAAGCTGAAGATGCCTTATCCTCGTCAAGATCCTTTACCTCCGAAAAGGGAACCAATTCTAGTTTTCATGTCTGAAGCTGAAGAATTGAATATCACTTCGAGAAAAGCACAACATGAGTCAGAAGCATGGAAGAATAAAATATCAGGTTGTCATTAGTGAGAATGCCGAACTTCAGAAGCAACTTCAGTCGAAGAATGAAGAATCACTTTCTTACAAGAAGAGAAAAGTCCAGGAAGAATTATTTTCTTCCGACTCTCAGCCTACCTTTCGAAGTTGATTGTGGACAATGCTTCCTTAGGACTTTATTAGCTTTTCTTTAGCCATTATGTTAAGACTTCTTACTTGTAAT